CATCGGAGGTTACTGTCAGCTCTCTGAGCACGTCAGCAGGATCTGGGTAAAGTCCCGGGAGCCGTGACCTTGTCTTGCCTTTCTGAGCATGACAAGTCTGGGGTTGTTGACCAGGGTCTGCAGCAGGAGCCACCTCGTCCTGGACCTGGCTGAGATTCGGGGACCTAGGAGTGAACCAGAGCAGATGGACTTGGGGGTGGGGCAGCTTGTCTCTGTTCTCAGAAGCTCTAGGAGAAGCTGACTGGTAGGTGTGGGGTGCAGGAGAAGGAGCTGGACTGGGACTTCTGGGGACATGAGGGCGGCTGGAGGGATGTGAGTTTGTGCCAAAGCTGGATGTCTGCAGTTGGGAACAGTGACAAATGTAGTCCAGACTAGTGCTCACAAGACGTGGCTAAATGGTGGGCTTCCCAGCAGAAGGCAGAGCAGAATAATAAGGGTGGGAGGGGTGGGGTAGACAGTCTTGACCCTCAAGGGAGCAGAGAATGGTAGCCGGAAGAGCTTGGTGTAACTAAACCGAGCCCCATCTTGGAGGGCGTCTGGCATGAAGCCTGGGATATGGGTGAGGTCTTAAACAAAGGGACTGGAGGACACAGACAGCAGAACTAGGGCTCCTTCCTGGGAACATGGGAGGAGCCCACTTAGAAGGACAAGGACACCAGGCCTCCAGGGTCCCCTGGCCAGGCTGGCTACGTGCCAAGCCTCCTGGTCTCCTCAGTAGAGGGCTCCCCAGGGCACAGAGTATAGAGGAAGGGGGAAGCTGGGCCATGTCATTGGGGCTCCCAGAGAAGCCTTAGGGTCCTCGTTGCCTGTTGTCCAACCCCAGCATAGGTTCAAACAGGAGGCTTACCTGTCGACTGATTTAGGCACCAGTATTTGATGGCCCGCTGCAGCTTCCTCTCCCTGTGCCCTGTGATCAGGATGTTACAGAAGCTGACGAGCACAGGGTTGGTATGATAATGATCCACATAGAGCATGCCGATCCAGGCACTGAACCCTGAAACGCACAAGGCAAGTCAGGCCGGGCAGCACGTCCTCTGTCCTGTCCCGGGACGCACGAGCCTGGGCCACGTTGTTCCTCAACAGTGCTGTTTTCACTGAGAATCTAGAAAATCAGGTACAAAGAGCTGGAAGGGTTCTCAGGCTATCATTCTAATCCATCCCTTTTGCAGAGACCTAAGCCAAAAGCGGGAGGAACACGTGGCTTGTACGGAGAGGCTGCCAGGCATACAAGCAATGGGGGAGTGAATGAATGGATACAGGTCAGAAAGAAAACCGAGACGATTTTTGCTCTACAGAAATGGCTTGATTTGGGAGTCTTTTCATCAGGACAGACCATTTTCTTAACTATGTTTCCAGCTAATGACACTGTTAATTCTATGACGTATTCTTCCTCAAAATGTTCAGGTAAATTAGTTACATACTAACTGTTCAGATGGAGTTCTAGTACTTCTTACCGCTCTCCATGATACCGGGAAGGTCTGTCAAATATGCAGCAGTTTCACTAGCCTGAATTCTCTTCTATTAGGCTGAATGCTTTTTTTCTGCTCAGCGTTAGAGCCTCCATGAAAGCTGAGCTCTGGGCAGGAGGAGGGTGTGAAGTCCAGGCCTCCAGGACCCGACCGGCCGGCGGCTTCCAGAAAGCTGCAAGAGCAGCGCCCCCCTCGCCCCCCGCCCCCGACTCAATGCATAGCCACCAGGGATCAGCCACTCACCCATGTCCGCACCCTCATAGCCATTCTGCATGATGGTCCTGTCAATGCGTGCAATCAGCCATGTGCCCAGAACGCAGCTGATGAGCAGCCTGGAGAGACAAGCGCCCAGGCCCAGCAGTACGTTGTAGAAGAACAGAAAGTAGTTGAAGTTGTGGAATGCTTTCCTGCAAACAGAAGCAGGCAGAGGGGCAGCAGGCTTTGAGCAAGAGGAGGCGGCTGTGCATGCTGGCTCAGGGCCCCAGGCCTGGGGTCAAACCCTGCAGCTCCCGTCTCCTAGCCGTGTGACGTGATTGTCCCGGCCACACAGCACTGGTCTGGGGATGAGCTCAGATACAGTGCAGGTTGTCAATGGTGTGTGATGTGTCATGGGATCCTTGGGTTTTAAGGTTTCCTGTACCACAAGAAATCTCATGTGGCCACAGCTGGCTTTGTGGTTACAGCAGAGGTTGTGGCTTTCCCACTGTCCATTGTCATAATGACCTGCTCCCCTCCCCCTCCCCCCACTGGAACTGTTCCAAGTCCTCCAGGGGAAACTTCCTAGATGACCACTGGATTGTGTGGTTTCCTGTTGCCTGTGGGTGGGATAAGGCCCCAACTCGGGCATCCTGGATGTCTGGGCCATCTCTAGGAGGGGTCTTCCTGGGTCATCACTCTGTACCCCCCGTCTGCCCCTCACCATCCAAGGCCACTGCACGGTTGCCATATTGAATTCTCACTGTTCTTTCAACACGTCTTGCCCTTTCATGGCCAGCTGCCTCCATCTGGACCACGAGGGCTGCTGGCCACGCACTCTCCTCAGAGTTACCCACCGGAATCCCACCAGCCTACTGCATTCAGCTCAAACGTCCCACTTGCCATTGAATGAACCATTTCTCTCTCTCTTTCTCCATTACCTGCCTTGCTCTCATGAGGCTGTTACCAACCACCCCCCACCCCGGAGTTGTCGCCATGTGTCTGTTGTCTGCTGGCCCCTGTGGACGGGGAGCTTCTGCAAGCAGGTCATGGAGGGATACCTCTGTATCCTTAGTGCCGGCTTTGTTTCCTCCCTGAGTGAAGGGCTTTGAATGAGTGAACCACAAAGGATCACCTCGGACCAGGCACTATTATTCTAAGTGCATAATGGAACACAGTTCATGCTCCAAATGCCTCTCTGAGGTGCACAATTATTTGTAAAATGAGGAAACTACCATTCATGGGTGTTCTGGAAGGCCACATACAGTGCCATCGCCCATAAGGGGTGAAGCCAGGATTTGGACCCAGGCAGTTGGGTCCCAGAGGCCGCTCCCAAACCACCACCCCTCGCCCTCTCAGGGAGGGCGCCGTCCGCCCAGGAACCTGCCAAGGGGGAACAGGAAGGAGCGAGAGGCTGCTGACATCCAAGCCTCCGATCCCCACTCCCTTCGTTACCCAACCTGTTATTGAGCGCCAGGGGCTTCTGCCCGTCAGCTGCGCTCATCTTCGGCTGCAGGAAGAAGGTGGCGGCGATCCACACCTGCAGGACCATGAGACCCAGGACGATGGCTATGGTGAGGCTGAAACACAGGGCGAGACAGTCCTGAGGTGGCCTTGTCCAAGCCCTCCTCCGGTGCCCGGTGACAGAGAGGACAGGGACCGGCCAGCCTGCTGGGACAACAGGAGCCCCGGCTCTGTGCTTTATGCCTCCAGAGCCTTCTCACACCCACTGTCTGATGAGAAAACAGGCTCACAAAGGGCGGACGGCTTTCTCAAAGCTGCATGGTCAGGTCTTGGGACTCCAGACTGGAAGTTCAGGATTTAATTACATGTGACCACTAAGCTGCGTGTTTAACAGCATGGAAATCAAAGAAAAGGATGGGGTTTTTCGAGAGTTCATGAAGGCCCTGAGAGTGGACAAGCAGGCTCTGCCCAGCCTCCCACGTGGCTCTAGGGGAGAATGGAACCAAGGAGCTCAGAGCAGGAGTTCCCAGAGAGGGCCACGTCCTGTGTTGGCTTCCCTGAGAGGCCGTGTGGGGCGCTTAAATGGGGCCTCGGCTTCAGGTGGCTAGCTCCCAATCCTGCCTCTTCCCCTCGTTGGACATACTGGTGAGGCCTCTGTGCCTCTGCTTCCTTGTGTGAAAACTGAGCCTTAATATGAGACTCAACCTTCCAAGGGTTCCTAAGACAAAAGATGCACAGTGAATTCTCAGTAATGTCAACCTTCACTTTTACCTTCCACAGGGGTAAACTGAGGCTCAGAGAAGCAGTTCACCCAGGGTCACACAGCTGATCGAGAAACTAAGTTCAGGTTTTCTCCTCTCTCCTTCCACTATACTGCCCTGACTCTCATGTCACCTCCCTGAACCTCAATCTTCCCGGCTATGAAATGGACACATATGTCTCCCCCACAGACACAACTGTGAGCATCCCCACTGACCAGCGAGAATGCAAACAGTCTGTGAACTGTAAGGTTCCCATGGTGATGAGTTGCTATTTTGGCCCATCCTTGAGTCAGAGCTGAGAACGTGGGTCCAGGAATTAGTGAGATCCCAACAGGGAAGGGGCAATTTGAACAGGAGCTCCAAGGCCCCGGGCACGGACAGAGAGCCCGCCCAGCACTTACGTCCCAATGCCCAGTCCTTGGAGCATCTCCAGGCCCTGGTTGTGGATGACAGGCAACACCAGGCTGTACATGATCAGGATGCCACAGAGGCTCTGCACCACGTGGATGATGAGGTAGCCTGGGGGCCAAGGGAACGCATAGTCACCCGAGGCCCGTCGTGACCTGGTCATACCTGGCCCTCCTCCCTGAAGTCCCCCCGCCCCCAGCCTCTTCCCACCGAAGGTCCTGGGATTCTTGCTTGCGCTGTGTCTTCTGCCTGGGACGATCTCTCTTCTCTCTACCCACAGCCAGGACTCTGCAGGCACCTGGGGAACAGGTGTTAAACTACAACAGGTCACGTGAAGACACTTACCCCACAGCATGTAGGCTATTTGCCAGCCAGAGTACCTTGCAATGGCCACCTGGGATTTAAAAAGAAAAAGGCTCTCAGAGGGGAGAAAACACTGATCACCTCTAACACATGGGTCAAGCGTCCCCGCCTCATCTGAGGTTCACCGACCCACACACCAAGACAGGTGTCATGACTGTCATCGTTTTACAGAAGAGGAGACCAAGGGCCAGATGGCTCACCCAGCAGCAGAAGCGAGGCCCATGGACTCCCCGTCCGGGCTCTTCCTCCCAGAGGCTGCTGCCCCTGTCCCAGCCACAGGACACCAGGATTCAGCCAACCCCTCGGTCTCAGAGCAGAGAGAAGCCTCAGAGAACTCACCACACTCTCCGACGAGGAAGGATTATGGAACTTCAAAGGGAGAAAGTGTTTCTTTCCTGCCCACAACCTCTTCATGTGCTTTCTAGAGGAAAAAGTGGGAAATCAGGAATGTTCATGGCCACGGCTGTTTATACGCTTCGAGCTCAAGAGATGTAGACAGAAAAGCCAGTGGAGGGAGATGGTGGCTGGCTCGGCTTCCCTGTGTTGACCACAGCTCCTGGGACATTCTTGTCAGACTTAAAAATACTTTCAAAATACTTTTTAAATTGAGATATAGTTGACATATAACATTATATTAAGTTCAGGTGTACAACATAATGATTTAAGTGTATATTGCAAAATGGTCACCATGATGAGACTAGTTAACATCCATCATCTTACATAGTTATGATTTTTTTCTTGTGATGAGAGCTTTTAAGATCTATACTCCCCAGCTTGTAAATCTGCAGCATAGCACTATTACCTAGAGCTGCCAGGCTGTGTATTACATCCCCATGATATTTATTCTATAACTGGAAGCTTATACCTTTTGAGTCCCTTCACCCACCCCCCCAACCCCACCTCTGACAACCTCACATCTGTTCTTTGCATCTGTGAGCTTGGATTTTTGTTTTGTTTTAGATTCCACATATACGTGAGATCATACGGTATTTATCCTTCCCTGTCTGACTTACTTCACTAAGCATAACACCTTTTAAGGTCTATCCACGTTCTGCAAATGGCAAGATTTCATTTGTTTTTATGGCTGAATGGTATTCCACTGTGTGTGTGTGTGTGTGTCGCATCTTCTTTGCCCCTTCCATCCATCAATGGACACCTAGGTTATTTTCATATCTTGAATATTGTAAATAATGTGGCAATAAACATGGGAGTGCAAAAATGTTTCCAAAATATGGTTTTTGTTTTCTTCCCATAAATACCCAGGAATGAAATTGTTGGATCTTCTGATCAGAAGTTCTATTTTTACTTTTTTGAGGGACCTCCATGCTGTTTTCCACAGCGGCTGCACAATTTGCATCCCTATCAACAGTGCACGAAGGCTTCATTTTCACCACATCCTCACGCATACTGGCTACTTCTTGTGGTTTGGGGACTAAACTAGCCATTTGAACCGATGTGAGGTGATGCCTCGCTGTGGTCTTAAAACAGTCATGTGTTTCCCTGATGATTTAAAAATCTTAATACAGTTTGCAAAAATAATATGTAGTTACCTAGTCTTCATGATGACTAAATGTGGAAGTTGAGACTCTCTGTGTGTGGCTTTTATTTTTTTCAATTTGCTCTGTTTTCTTATTTGTTCTGTGATGAATATGTATTACTTATGTAATAATATTTCAAAACAGGTAATAATGGAAACCCGTATTTAATGATAGGTCCACCTTATAACAACATAAAGAAAACTGAGAAAGGGACCACAGCCCCTCATGCTCCCAGCACCCCTGCAAACTGTTCTCGGCCTGGCCCTTTGAGTAAAGATTAGGCTGGTAATGGTTATGTTCATGCTGCATTCTCATCTGTGTCCTGCCTTTTTCCTAACATCCTATCTCCAGCATTTTCCAGGATGTTTTGTGATTTTATGACCACTAAATTGGGAAGACTCAGTATGAAATAAAGAATGTAAACATGTCATTAATAGTTTGCATACTTGGGACATTTGGGTGGCTCAGTTGTTAAGCATCTGGCTTCGGTGTATGATCCCAGGGTCCTGGGATGGAGCCCCACATTGGGCTTCCTGCTCAGTGGGGAGCCAGCTTCTCCCTCTCCCTCTGCCCCTGCTTGTGTTCCCTCTCTCGCTGAATCTCTCTGTCAAATAAATAAAATCTTGAAAAAAAAGTTTGTGTATTTATTACATGACAAAAAGATGGTTTGGGGTTCTGTTAGGTTCAGTAAAATATATTAAATTATTTTCATCTCTTTTTTTTTAACTTTTTAAGGTTAAAAGTTAGTGTCTATTAGAAAATTCAAAATTGCATCTGTGAGCTTCATTGTCTCAGCTTGGCAGCCTGGAGTAGAGTACGCCACCAGGAATACAAACACAGATATATTTGCACGAGGCACAGACAATTTCTGGAAGGATACAGAAAGTGAATAATGCTTAGCTCTGGGGCAACAAACTGGGATCTGGATGGGAGAAGGATTTTTACATTAAATATTTTTATAACATTTTTTTTAAAAAGAGATTAGACTAATTCTAAGAGAAATAAAAATACAAGCACAGTGCTAGTACTATCTGGTTGTGGCGTTTTCTTATCCACTATTTCCTTTGCCCCATGGTCCTGTAAAGCAGACAGGATGGGGGTCATCAGTCCTCATGACAGGAATGGGAGGGAGGGGCCAGCCTGGACAAGAATAAGGCCTCCCACCCCTGTGTCCTCTACCCATGTCAGCACAGACAGCTCTAAAAGGTGGTTGTGACTGGTTGTGGTCCAATGTCTCACTGATCATCTCCCAGGCACTTGCAGGCCATATCCCTGCATCAGGGAGGGCAGGGGAGAGTGGCAGTGTCCAGTCCACCCACAGGATTCGGGGACAAGAAAGCAGAGAGAGGGAGCAAGCTAGGGCTGGGATGGAGAGCTGGGGCCTCTTTGTACCAGGAGAGTACTTACTTGCCTGCCATCTGCAAGAGACCCACACTTTGGGCAGCCAGATGGGAAGGCTGTAAAGGCAGGATGCTCTGGGGGAGGGGAGGCAGTAAGGGATGGCCCTGGGCCTCCTGTGACTGCATGTGATTTAGAGACTAAGGTCGGGGGAGGGAAGAACTGAGAGACAGAGAGATACTGAGAGTCAGACAGAGAGAGAGGAGAGAAGGCGGATACCTAAAATTCAACCACTGTCTGCAGTGAAATGCTCACTACATATTCAAAGCCATCCCCTCCTCCTGCTCTGCTCCTCTAAAGACTCGTGCTCCCGGTGTCCTTGACTCGATCTCCTTTGGTACCCCCTGAGCCAGATGCACCTGCTAGGAACCCACTGTGGTTAGTCCTGGGGAGCAGGGCAAGTCTGAGCCCCAACAGAGATGCTGAGCGTACAAGACGTGATAAGGCTTCTCAAGGCAGAAGACATGGCCAGCTGCTAATGGCACGGCTGAGTTCTCTTGTCTTTTGTCTCAGCCTTCTCAGCTGTTAAAACAGAGATGGAAGTGCCTCTCAGGTTGTGGTGAAAATCAAAAGAATTATTTTTTTTAAAGATTTATTTATTTATTTGAGGGAGAGAGAGAGAGATAGATCATGTATGCATGTCAGGGGAGGAGCAAAGGGAGAGGGAGAAGGAGGGAAACAGACTCCCCACTGAGCGGGGCTTGATCCCAGAACCCTGAGATCATGACCTGGGCTGAAACCAAGAGATGGCTGCTTGATCAACTGAGCCACCCAGGTGCCCCTGAAAATCAAAATATTCTAAGCACAATGTCAAGCTTATAGCAGAAGCTCAGATCAATAGATTTTTTGGTTTGGGGCTTTCTGTTTTACAACCAATAAATGTGGCTATTCCTGGATGGCATATACATTCCTGGTTCCAATTCGGGCACTGCTGTCACTACTCAAGAATTTCTAGAAAATTCTAGCTGAAGACACACCAGTGACTCCCAGAGCCCTCTTACCGGTAACAGGCCAATATGTGGAACAGATAGCTCACGCACGTGAGGGAGGCGGGCAAGATGGTCACCAGCCAGACTCCTGAAATAGAAGAAGTCACGGGAGAGGCCTGAGAAGATGAGCCAGAAACATTATTTTCAAAATACAGCTGTTCACATCAGAAAGAGCTGGGTGATACATTTTACTTCCTTTAACACATTTCTTGTATACATAAAGTTTTGCTTCTATTTCTTCTATTTCTGTCTCATTTCAGACACACACACGCCCTTGCTATGCTTTGCTTCTTGCACAAGCCTCTCCTTTGATATTAAGATTTTCCATCTACAGTAAGTAATGGGAAGAGAAAATGAAGGAGTGTACACATCCCAGTCACCTCCCACCCTTGTAGAATGACTCATAGTTGACTTCTCTTTGCCACCCCCGGTAAAAAGCAACCCTGCGCAAGGGTAATTGGAGTCAAGAGGTCTTGACTGACGTCTTTCATCCCTCTTTTGGCAAGTTTTTAATATGTTGTATCTAATCTGCTTTCACGTGATCCTGTGTGCTTGGGAGCAAGGTGGGGGTGGAGAAACAGGGAAGGGGAATGATGTGTACATAGAGAAGCTTCCAGACAAGCTGTTTATCAGTTGGGCCAAAAACCATTTTAAAAACATCCAATACCTCTTCATAATGAAAAACACTTCATAGAGTAGAAATAGAAGAGAACTTCCTCAACCTGATACAGAGCATTTGCAAAAAACAAACAAACAAACAAACAAAAAAACAAAAACACAAACACAAAAAACCCACAGCGAACACCACGCTTAACAGCAAAAGACTGATTGGTTTCCCCCCTAAGTTCAGGTATAAGAGAATCAATGTCCACTCTTGCCAGTTCTACCCAACATCGTACTGGAGGGCCTAGCCAGGGAAATTGGGCAAAAAAATGCAGCCAGTCTGCAAAGGAAAAAATAAAACTACCTCTGTTCACCAGTGACATATTCTTTAAAAAATTCTACGGAATGAACAAACAAAAAAGATTAAAACTCATTAATAAACAAGTTCAGCAAGCTTGCAGGATACAAGACAAATATATAAAAATCAACTGTATTTCTAGGCACTGGCAATGAACAAAATGAAAATATGCTTGCATTAGCATCAAAAAGAATAAAATACTTAAGAAAAAACAGAAGAAGTGTGCAACCTGTACCCTGGAAACTACAAAAGACTGTTGAAAGAAATTAAAGAAAATTTTGATCCATGGAAAGACATGCTGTATTCCTGTACAGGAGGGTCTCTGCTAACATGGTAACACTCCCTGAACCAATCTAAAGATTCAATCTAATCCTTCTCAAAATTCCAATGCCAATTTTGCATAAATCAACAAGCTAATCTTAAAATTCATATGAAAATGAAGAGACCTAGAATAGGCAATATAATCTTGAAAAGGAAGAAGAAAATTTCAGGACTCACATTTCTTGATTTTAAACTTACTACAAAGCTACAGTAATGAGGACAATGTGGTACTGCCATAAGGATAAACAGATCAGTGTGATAACCTGAGAATCCAGAAGTAATCATCGTACTCACAATCAGCATACTTTCAACAAGGATGAAAAAGACAATTCAATGGGGAAAGAATATGCTTTTCCACAAATGGCACCGGGGTAACTGATATTCACATGGAAACCAGTGAAGTGAGAACCTTACCTCACAGCATATACAAAAATTGACTCAAAGGGGGATGATAGGTTTAAATGTAAAAGCTAAAATTGTAGAAGTCTTTAAAGGAAATAGAATAAATCTTTGTGACCTCAAGTTAGGCAACATTTTCTTAGATGCACACATGTAATGAAAGAAAAATGACTATGCTGAACTCCATCAAAATTAAAACCATCTGTGTTTCAAAGGACACTGTCAAAAAAGAGAAAAAGCAACCCACAGACTGAGAGAAAAATTCTTGCAAATTGTATCTCTTTTAAGGGATTTATGTGTAATATAAAGAATTCTTACAGCTCAGTAATAATTTAGAAATAGGCAAAGAATCTCCATGGAGATAAACAGAAGATGTACAAATGGCCAATCTCCTCCAGTCCCATCGCAGTCAACATCCTTAGACATCAGGGAAATGAAAACCAAAACCACAATAAGATGACATTTCACACTTCCTAGATCGCTATTAAAAAACAAAAAACATATCAACATGTGTTGGTGAAGATATGGAGAAACTGGATCCCTGATACATCACTGGTGGTAATACACAGTGAGGCAGGTGCTTCTGAAAATAGTATGGCAATTCATTGAAAGGTTAAACATAACTACCATACAATCCAGAATTCCACTCCTAGGTATATATCCAAGACATACGAAAATATATGAAAACCTTGGAGATGAATGTTCACAGAAATATTACTCATAATAGCAAAAAAGTTGAAACAACCCAGATTTCCATCAACCAATGACTGGATCAACACGATGTGGTATATTCATACAACAGAATAAACTCCAGCAATAAAAAATAATGAAGTTTGGTTGCATGCCATGACATACATGAACTTTGTAAACACTTGCTACGTGAGAGAAGCTGGTCAAAAAAGACCATGTATTGTGGGATTCCATATATATAAGAAGTCCAGAAGAGCCAAATCCACAGAGCCAGAAAACAGTGGTAACCTAGGGCTGGGAATGTTGAGGGGAAATAAGGAGAGATTGTAAATGATTATGCTTTCTTTTTAAGGTGATGAAAACGTTCCACATTTGATTGTGGTGATTGGTCGCACAACAGTGATGGCTGAGAATATACTAAAACCACTAAACTGTACTTTAAGTGGATGGATTGTGAGGTGTGTGAGTTATATCTTAAGAAAGATCTATAAACAACTCCTCAAACTCAACACACACAAAACAGATAAGCACGTCAAAAAATGGGCAGAAGACATGAAAAGACCCTTGTCCAAAGAAGACATACAAATGGCTAACAGACACATGGAAAAATGTTCATCATCATTAGCCATCAGGGAGATTCAAATCAAAACCACATTGAGATACCACCTTACACCAGTTAGAATGGCCAAAATTAACTAAACAGTAAACAATAAGTATTGGAGAGGATGTGGAGAAAGGGGAACCCTCTTACACTGGTTGGTGGGAATGCAAGTTGGTGCAGCCACTTTGGAGAACAGTGTGGAGATTCCTTAAGAAATTAAAAATAGAGCTTCCCTATGACCCTGCAATTGCACTACTGGGTATTTACCCCAAAGATACAGATGTAGTGAAAAGAAGGGCCATTTGTACTCCAATTCATAGCAGCAATGACCACAGTCGCCAAACTGTGGAAAGAACCAAGATGCCCTTCAACGGACGAATGGATAAAGAAGATGTGGTCCATATATACAGTGGAGTATTATGCCTCCATCAGAAAGGATGAATACCCAACTTTTGTATCAACATGGATGGGACTGGAAGAGATTATGCTGAGCGAAATAAGTCAAGCAGAGAGAGCCAAATATCATATGGTTTCACTTACTTGTGGAGCAGAAGGAATATCACGGAGGACATGGGGAAATGGAGAGGAGAAGTGAGTTGGGGGAAATCAGAGGGAGACAAACCATGAGAGACTGTGGACTCTGAGAAACAAACTGAGGGGTTTGGAGCGGAGGGGGTTGGGAGGTTGGGTGAGCCTGGTGGTAGGTATTATGGAGGGCACGTATTGCATGGAGCACTGGGTGTGGTGCATAAACAATGAATTTTGGAACACTGAAAAGAAATAAAATAAAATAAAATGGAAAAAAAAAAGAAGGAAAAAGAAATCTGATTTCCATTCCTTCCAAGTTTTAAATGTGTTTCTGTCCCAGCATCACCAGGATTAGGCAAGGGCTATATCCCAAACTTCAACCATCACAAAGGATGTGGGTAAACCCCCATAAATGTCACCCCCAGGGGCACGGGGAGCCTTGAAGGAAAGGATGGGAGGTGTCTGGCCATGAGCAGAGCGAGTGCAGACTTACTCCTGCCAGCAGCGAGAGCGTGGCTAATAGCACACTTTTCATTTAAGGTTTATTGTCCCAAAGATGAATGTTTATCTTCAAAGATGAAGTCTAAAAGTCTCTCTCAGCCAGGGGACAGCAGTATTAAAGCCGAAAAAGATCAAGATGGAGCGAAAATTTTATGTTTTGACTCTCAAAGTATCTAAACATGAGAGAAATACGTGGAAGAGGGGGTACAACACGAGTGAATATGGTGATATATTTACTCCGGGTTCACCCAGAGTGAGTAACCGAGGTTGGCATTACAAACTTGCCCAGAGGAGGCGGAAAATGTAAACTTTCAAAACTATGACTTAAAATCAGTATGACTGAACTTGAAGATTAGACCAGGCTTGCTGAGCACGGTACTCAGGGACTCCTCAGCCTGAGCATGGGAATGGGAATGTTCAAGGGCAACAGTGAAGTATGTTGGTATGGAAGGGGCGGTACCCCAGTGCTCCCATCAAAGTAACTTTCCATGCCACGTGTATGAAAGAGAATTTCCCTCAAATAATTCACAGGAGATCTGTTTCCTTCTGGTTGCCGTACTCTACCAGATTATGTGTCTTAAGTAAAAATATCATTTGCAACACCTGTTTCACAACTTAAGGAACATTTGGTAATTTATGGCCATTAAGTGTCGATGCTACTGAGGTTTTTGGAAACCACTTCCCACCCCATTCCAAGCCCCCATTTAAAGATGAAGAAGCTGGGGCACCCGGGTGGCTCAGTGGGTTAAGCCTCTGCCTTCGGCTCAGGTCATGATCCCAGGGTCCTGGGATCGAGTCCCGCATCGGGCTCTCTGCTCAGCAGGGAGCCTATTCCTCCTCTCTCTCTGCCTGCCTCTCTGCCTACTTGTGATCTCTGTCTGTCAAATAAATAAATAAAATCTTTAAAGATGAGGAAGCTGAGGACAAGAGAGAGGACCTGACCTGTCTGATGGCAGGGAGTTTACCTAACATCTAGTCTAGGGCCTTTCTTAGCAGGAAAGCGGGAAGAACTCGCCTCCCTCCCTAGGCAACGGACAAAGAATTAGAATGTCTTTTTCAAAGACAGCTGGTATCTTAAGGTGAAGTG